GCCAGCCCCCCCGGCACCTGCCCCCCTGCTGCAGCTGCTGCGGCCTGTCGGATCCCCGGGCGGCCAGGGGGGGACATGGTCCCCTCACTCGCCCCTTGCTGGCGGCCATGAAGAGGCAGAACGTGCGGACCCTGTCCCTCATCATCTGCACGTTCACCTACCTGCTGGTCGGGGCCGCTGTCTTTGATGCCCTGGAGTCCGACAACGAGATGCGGGAGGAGGAGAAACTCAAAGCCGAGGAGATCCGGCTCAAAGGAAAGTACAACATCACCAGTGAGGACTACCGGCAGCTGGAGTTGGTGATCATGCAGTCTGAGCCGCACCGGGCCGGCGTCCAGTGGAAATTTGCCGGCTCCTTCTACTTTGCCATCACGGTCATCACGACCATTGGTGAGTGTCTCACCTCGGGGAGGCCCTCGGGGGCCAGGGCCAGGACAAAAGCCCCCCTGGTTGGGAGAAAAGGAGAGGGACAGGGGGGCCGTGGCACGGGAAGGGTTAAGTGCCAGATGACTTTTTTGGCTTCCCTCCCATGTTATGTAATTAACTGCTCTTCAGGGGCACTTGTTGGACGTGGTGGTGTCCCGCACCTCTTCCCCTGGAGATGGAGCCTGCTGACCCCTGGGTGGGACTGGAGAGAAGTGGGGCTGGCCTGGTGGGGAGATTGGCGCTGGCCCAGGTGGCTACTGTTGAGCTGTGGCTTGGGTGGCAAGGAGGAAGGGGGTAGGGGCAGGGTGAGACTTTCCTGGGGTTCCCCTCAGGAAGAAGGAGGCCCGGTTGCCACACTCCTGCTTGCACCTTTGCTTAAGAGACACGGGGAAAACTTAGGCAGAAGGCAGTTGGATGAGGGTGAAAACGATGCGGGCATGGGAACTGGATCAGCTGGGAAAGCCCTTGATGTAGCTGAGCGTAGCCCTGCTTTCGCAAACTTTGTTTTGGCATTGGCAAGGGCTGTGGTGGCGGTTCCCACGGCTGTGGTCCCATCGCTGGGCCTCTCCTGGGCATTCCCAACGTGTTCCTGAAGTTTTTATCGCAGCTGGAGCGTCTGATGTGCCAACAGGTCACAGTCTGCATCTCCTCTTTGTGGGCACACGGTCCGACAGGCAAAACGATGCCCTGCTGTCACATCCGTGCTGCCCGGCTTCCCAGACGTGCCATTTCCCAGGATGGTCGAGGAACAGTCAGTGGACACAACCACGGGCTGTCATTTTGTACTTGTCTGCTTCCCGCAGCTAAGGCGGAGCGGTTCGCATAAAGTTTGCTTCCCTGCCATAAAAATAAATACCACGATAAGTAGAGGCTGCAGAGCGCACACAGAACTGGGATACAACTCTGGCTTTGGCTTGCTGAGTGGGTTTGTTCTTCCCCGTTTTGTATTCAGTTGGGTGGATTTACGGAGGTAGATGATAACATCCTTCTCCCAGCACTTCTAGATGTTCCCCCCTAACATCTGGGGAGATCTGAAAAGACCTCCCTAGCTCAGTGGCTGTTTGATAGTGCGTTATATTGAACGGGACACGAAAGACTAGCTCTCTTATTAATACAGACGGACTCGATAGTTTTACCATTTAGGGCTTGTTACAAGGCATTTGCACGTTGCCACCTGAAGGTACTGACAGTTTTCAGCAGAACGTGCTGCCCGCTGCCCTCTGAGCAGTGATTCCTTATGTTTGTATTTGGCTGTATTATACCCGGGGCAGTAAAAAATTTCCTTTGAAAGACCATCTGACAGTATAAAGCCTATTTGCCATTAGAAAGATGAGACTTTTAAGGGATAATATCCTCTTCTTTTCTGTTATTAGATATATTGATATAAAATGCATATATTAATAGGCTATAGAATATAAAGTAGAAAGTAACTTTGGCCAATGACTTAGGTTTCCTACTGTTTGTTATGATGTCAGAACTCTCCTTCCTCCTTTGGTCACTGATTCTCCCCTGCTTGATCTCTCTCTTGTCGTTTATTTGTGCTAAGTGAGTACGGGGCTGTCATGGTCCTCGGGATTACAACAAGGCTTCCACGCACACGCCTGTGTACTCAGGGTGCCCTATACTCTTGCCTGAGAGGTGGCTGCAATACTTTCTGCGTTCTTAAGCTCAGTCGGTGACAGGTAGAGCTGTTTTTACGGTAGTTTGCTGGTTTGGTCATATTTTAACGTGGAAACAAGCACAACTTGCTTGGGAAGCTTTAGCATTTTCTCATGCGAAGAGCTGGGATTTGTTTAGGAAGCTCGGAAAACCTCAGTGTGCAGAGGATGGGGTGCATTTCTGTAGGCAGAGGCGCTTTGGGATGTTTGAATTGTTTAAATTTAAAATGTGTATAGCAACTGGGAACCACTGGGAGGAAGAGTGATAATAAAGAATGGTGCGGAAGAACAGACATTCTTTAATGACTGTTCATTTGGGAAACTGCTCCAGCAGGATATGTGATCCGTCTTTCAAAAGTTCATTAATAGTTACTATCTGCATCTTGCCAAATGCACTTCTATTTTGTGTATCATCTTTTCAGTACTAAAGTAGCTTCGTGATGTTATCTGATCTACTGGTAGTCTGTAAAAGTGAACATGGAAGGTTTTTCTTTAATTTCCTATTTATCCTAAAAGAATTTGGTTCAAAGGGGGAAAAAATGAGTTTCTATATTTAAGTTCTCAGGAAAAGAAGAGAAGGTTTCTCCTCTATCTTTCTCACATGGGGCAGTGATCTTAAATGTTCATATTAACCTTTTGTGGTGGTTCTTCTTTTTAATCTGACTGTGCGTACGCTCTCACGTACATTTCCTTCTGCCTCTGAAACCTTCCAGACAGACTTCGAGAAGCACATGCAGCGGCGTATGTGCTAGTGAACGTGCTGTAGTCAGTAGGCGCTCTTGCAGAAGTGCGCCTGACTAGCTGTCGTGGGCTGATTTTCGAAACGAGGTGAATAAAACCCCTCTGTTATCTCATCTAGGGTGGCACATCTTTCTCCACAAAACTTCAGAGAACCGCGATAGGAAGCGGCAGACCACCAAGTCTAGCAATACGCGCATGATAGCAGAGTAATTCATGTCGAGCGTAACGGTTCTCCTCGATGCTGCTGTGCCGGCAGCGTGTCTGAAGCGATTCCCTCTTTACTGTGTCGATTTAAATGACCGTGACTTTAATTGAATCACCGACCATGAGCCAGCAGCCATCGGCGCGCCACCTCGGCGGCGGGGCCTTCCCCTGGGACGGGGAGGTTCGAGGCCCGTTGGGACGGGCTGAGATCGGGTCAACTCTCGCCTTTCCTCTAACCTGTGGCATTTGGCTTTTAGTAGCGGGTGCGAGGGGGTTGTTGCTCGCTTGTCAAGCTGCATGCTAAACAGAGAAGCGAGGGCTATCAAGTAAACAGAAAGTTTCTTTCAACTGTGATACAATTATTTTTTTTTTTTCCTATTCCCCGGGTGCAATTGTTGGGTTTTTTTCCCCTGTTTTTTCGAACTGACCCACCAGGAAAAAAAAAATAAAAAAAATTAAACAACGGCAGGTGCTTCGGTGATCGATGATTCTGCTCTTAAAATCCAGTAGCAGAAGAAAAATACCCCGTTTTCACAAAGTTTTGGTCACGTTTGAATTCTGTGAAAGTTTTTAGGTGATCAAAAAGAACTAATAAGCTGTTCTTGGCTCTCACCAGTTGCTGAGTTTATTTCGGGGTTGTTCTTGCTTCAGAGTTAGCTAGTATAATTTCCTATCCACTTCCAGTTACACAGCCAAAATGATGACAGAGAGCAATTTAATCAAGTTCTGCATCCAACTATTTGTCGTTTATGAGACACACTGTGGAATACGCCACAGAGTTCATAAAGAGGCTGGATACGATGAATGAAAACACCAACTTTTGAAAATAAAAGGTAATTCCTAGGATTCCTACAAAGTTTTAATGCCCTTTTCTACAGGTTTAGAAGAGTGAGTAAACTGCTTCAATGTAAGCAGGTGTCAACACTGTTGAAATGTGTTATTGGTATGGATATCGCTCCATCATTTAGGCCTTAAAGGGTGATAGTCATACTTGATTTAACACCACTGAGCTCTAGTAAACACTGAATATTTCTGGAGGCTTGTGCAGAATGTAAAGAACTGAAAGCTGTTTATGTCACCCTAAAGTGAACTGAAACAACAAACAGATTGAGGATTTTTATTTATTTATTTTTTCCTGAGAAGTGACTGTAAGGAGAGGCAAAATTCAGACAGTGGCTGTTGTGAACTGCGAGTCTCTTTCTCTAGCTTTTAGGCCTTTGTATTCTATCTCAAACCTACTACCAGCAGTGACTGAACTATCCCAGTGAACAGAGACAAAATATTTTTTGAGGACGTGGTACAATACCTGTAATGGTGAATGGAATATTCACCTATTGACAGCTGTTTGGCTACCGAGTAGCTAAACACTCAGAAACTGTCTACATCCAGATGAGGAGATTGCATACTTCTGGCAGATGGTGGCCTGACAGGGAGTTTGAACCTGCATTAATGAACTAAGCAAACACATGCTTAAATCCATTTCAGGATAGTAGTTAAGCCTCCATATCCTTTCTCTGCATCATTTTACCCTTCTGTAACATGGGTATAAAAATACCAAGCTGGTAGTGTTGCGACGTCTCTAATTTGGGTTAGAAAAAAGGCATAAGAGTTTTTATGTGTGAATTATTGTGTCAGTATTGCTCCGCCTTTAAGGATCAGCCCCTGGCGTTTCGAGTCCGCTCTTGGCTTTTGGTGGATGGTAGTATTTAAAGGCAGTCCACTGAGAAACTTTGAGTAGGGTATCGTGGCAGATGGACGATTGCAATGGAAAGAAAATAAAGGAAGAAAACAAGACAAGGAAAGGGAAAGATAGAGAATAAAGACACCAATGCTTTGGCTGGTTAACTGCTACATTCAGGACTTGCCAGGACCATGAAGGTCATATCTCATAAACAAACAAGCACAGAGTAGATTAAAGCCCCTGTATTATTAATAAACTCAGGTGAAAGTAGAGAGCAAGATTTTCTGGTGATACGAATGCTTGTAGGTGCACTGAAGTAATGAATCTATTCATTCACACCATCTGAAGCTTCAGTGGAGAATACTGGATGATCAGGACTTGTAATATCTGTTGGTGGTATCTCCCAGGCAAGGAGGAGATCAGCTTCAGCGAGCCGCAAGAGGATGAACTGTGGCGTAGGATTTTGCTCCCCTGCAAAACTAAAATAACTCTGCAAGATCCTTTCACACGATACTCTTTGTCTCATGGAGAGTTTCTTTTTTTAAAAAGGGATATACAGAATAGTGTTCTGCTAACACAGAGGGGACTTTGTGGCTACTTTTCTCACATGTGCATCGAAACAGTTGAGTTCTTGAAAACTGGTTTTGCAATGATACCTCACATTCCTGCCAGAGGCACAT